CAGGGGACATTAACATTTCCACTTCCATACCAAAGAACAACCAGAAGGAGGTTAAGTGTAACCACAGGAAACATCCCATCCCTGAAAACCAGGAAATCTAGATTTGGAAATTTAAGTTTTTGACTTTTTTTTTTTTTTTGCAACTTTCAAAGCTCATGGCACCAAAATAAAGCTAAAATTAAATCCGTTTAAACATAGAAAAAAAAATTACCAAAACCACACTGTGTCAGCTATGTTCAGTTCCCTGAGGGCTCTTCCACTGACCCTTCCGAGTTGTGGCAATAACAAGTTTCCTTAAAATCCCCATTTTTCTATCTCCAGGGTCGAACATAAGAATATCACATAAATCCAAATAGTTATCGTCGGAAATAAATAAACTACTCGTCCTTAAACTGCAGACCTTGTTTCAGGAGCTGCCCTGCCCACCTCCTCTCCCTCCTCCTAATTTTTAATGCTTCCACGCGTTCTGACAACTAGGGTCTCCCCCTTGGGTTCTGTTCATGTGTCTGATTTACCAGACACTGACCAAATAGGGCAGGAAACTCCTACGTCTGGGGGCTGCTCCAGAAATCCAGCCCCCTCTAATGACAGTCTCCCTACGTCTTTCGCTCTGCGGGGACCGTCCAGAAAAAGGGGGCTTGAGACCCAAAGGAGTCCGGGAGGAAAGGAGGGGGGTGCTTAATCTGAAATGAACACCCCCGGTTTCTGGAGTAAGGGCTAAAAAGGCGATTAGGAGAGCCTGCCCAGTAGAAATACCACCTGAATTTACCTCCTCCTTTCTCACAGCAAAAGCCCAGTCACTAACTAATAAGCTAAGAAAAATCCCTGGAAAACTTTTCCAAACGGGCAGAGAAGGCCCTCTCCCAGCCTGTGGGGGCTCCGGGGGGAACCGGCTGGAGTTTGCAGCCCAGGAAGGGCTCGCCGGGGAGTGGGGTGGGGCGCGGGCGAGGGGTACAGGGGCGGAGTACCTTCAATGGACAGGAACTGGCAAAGAGTTGCAAAATAGCCGAGTGCTCTCCCCCACGCCCTCGGGGGTCGCGGGCGCTAGGACCAGGGCTCCCCGAACGGAGGGCAACCCCCAATTCGGGCCTAAAAGGAAACTTTCCGGGCCGCGGCTGCACCTGACTCCTCACCGCCCCTCCACCCCACCCCACGCCCGCCAGGCCGCCCGCCCCGCCCCGGCCTGGCCGCCCGGAGCGCAGAGGGGGATAAATAAATTCAACGATTACCGGAATCGACGGGGGTGGGGGGCGTCTGCGAGAGACTAGGGGGAAGGGGCGGGCGGGTGCCCATTCCCCACTCCTAGGCCCTGACGCCCCTGTCCCGGCAACCCGGGCCTGCCGCCCCGCAGGGGAGCCTCCCGGCCGGCGCACGATTCGGCCCCGCAGCGCCGCCGTCCCGCCTGGAGGCCCCGGGG